CTTAAGATGCTGCTACTCCTGCATTATCACGAGTATCTACATTCTTCTCATTACACAAGTTGTGAGCTCTAATACTTCTGTATTATGAAAAAGCAATCTAAACACTAGAATCCAAAGCACTTTTGTATGAATTAATTAGCACTCCAGTATTCGACCTCTTAACTAGACTGCAGTCTGTAATTTGAGGGTTATCATTAGCAGCCCCTATAAAACTGGTACAATAGATATGTGCACACTGCCATCTAATTCACAGTAATAATCTTCCAACAATTGTGTTCACTGTTGTCCTTTTAACTGTAGCAAAAAAAGAAATAAAATTGCATCATTTAATGCAACTGAATGATTCTAGTATTTATCTATTTCTTGTATCTCATATTAAGAAATTATAGAGCATTATTAATAATACCTGTTTGGTAAAGGCAGTAGTAAAAGGTTGTTGTAGAAAATAGGTACAGAACATTTAAAGAAAAATAACCATGGAATTTAGTAGGCATAAAGCTTTTATAAACTCTGTTTTCTGCTAGGTTACTATATTAGGAGTCTCAAAGCTTCCTCCAGTTAAGGTTAATGTATTGTTTATATTAGCACATAAGCCTTAACAACATAAAGAGCATTTCCCACTCATCAGTTAATAAGATGCAGCACAGAGAAAGGGCCAGTGAATCTGTTTGTTACAGTCTACTTAGTGAAACTATGACTACAATACTCCACTGCTGAAGTCAGTGAAAAGACACCAGAACAACACAATCCAAAGAAAAATGCAAGCTGATACAGCACAAAAGATTCTTTGTTTAAGAGCAGCAGAAATTTCCAGCAAGTATCTGTCCAAAAATGCACAACAGAAGATAAATTAAATAACTAAAGAAACCCAATCTAAAAGAGAATCATTATAAACCAGGACAAGGACACTTTGTTTTTAAGTGCACACAATGAATTTTAAAGCTCTTTCTTTAGAAGGGGTGTGGGATGATGACCAAAGAGCCAGACAAGGGCTAGGGCTTACGATCTATGGCCTACACTGTACACTCCCTACATTATCTTTGCAGATGGTGAGCTGCATAGCTGACATCAAGAAAAGATGAATTGGCCAAAGGAGGAAGTCCTGTGGAGATATAAGGATGGTCCTGTTTTGTCTCTGAAAAATGACACAGAAGTGTACATAGTTCTATGACCAGAACTTTGAAGGACACTAAGGCCAAAGTAAAGGAACTTTTACCTGATTAAAGGTCATTTCAATATTGAAATGCATACCCTGCATAAGCTTTATTAATAAATGCTACCATATATATGACTATATTGCACAACTTGCTACCTAGATCTACTATATATAACATAGGAGGAGGGGGATAAGATTTGGCTCTTTGCAAGGAGGGTAGAAATTTCATTTAGTTACGAGAAAGACCCCAAAAGACCTGAGACAGTCGATTGGCTACTCTACTTTCTTTTCTTCTGAGTGGGGATGCTCTAGTCCAATAATTTTTATTTGAACAGGCCACATGTTAGTATAGTTTTGATTGCAAGAAGTTACCGACTGTTGTTAAAGGGGGTACTATTAATTTGCTGTCTTCAGTTTTATCCCTCCTTTCTCTGATAGGGACTCTCTTCTGTCAGGTACTGTTTTGAAACTTAAAGAGAAAAAAAAGTGGCAAAAAATGTTTGTTTAGTAAAATACTCCCTGTTTTGTTTTCAGCCAGCTCGTATGAAGTTCAACTCAATGCATCTTGTAGCTTATTCTGAAAACAAGCAATTTGATTGCCCCTCAAGTTTGACCTGAATCAATTTGACCCTTTTGTCTTTTATACCTGTGTTCATCCAAAGCCGTGCCATTAAACTGATGGAGTCATCTGATCTACAAGCAAGTAGGGAGTAAATTCCCATTCACTGTTTCATTAAGTAAACTTCAGAGTGGTTCATGAGACAGCCTCATGGAAAGGATTTGTCATCAGGAACAAAATGTCACTGTTTACCTTTGAGACAGGTATGGGTTAAAGGGCTGGCTGGTACCTGGAATACCTTGAGTGAGGATCATCTGCATGTATATTCAGTTACACAAATAGAAACAGTCCTTAAAATAATAACCACTTCCTCACTACTTTCTTTAATTGTGGATTGTGAAGGTCTATTTGTCAGCAGCTAGTGAAGAGAATTGTTTGAGTTCAGTTTTCATGGAGACTTGACACTGACCCCAACTACAAAGAATACCCAGATGACAGGACAGAGTCTTCCACTTACAGAATCCACTCTTCTCCACTCTAGGAAACTGATGGAAGTTCTCCATCCCACAGAAGATACTCTGGAGTCCCTACTGGGCTCCTGTTTCATATTGAGGTCAGGAAAGAAAAATGTGCCAAGGACAAGAAAGACAAGGTTGTGAGATGTTGATGCAATTTATACTAGGAAAGAATGAACTTGCAGCTCTTCAGAACTGTGTGAATGGGAATAATGGAAAAGTCACCTCATATGCTGCTTTGACATCTGATGTTACGGCAATATTTCTCACATCACCTCAAAATATGCAAATAATCCACAAAAGCCTAATGCTGATCATCTTCTGAAGAAAAGATTGCTGCCTCCATTGATATGTCCATGTCCATGTATAGGGTCACTGTACATTAATCCATTAAACACAGAAATAGAAATAATTCAGTAATTCTCAAAATCCATATACTGTTCAAAACTTGCAGTGCTAAAGAACACTAAAAGTTCTAAATTACCTGGACTTTAGACAGCACGAAACTTGCATTGCAACTAATAAATTTACTTGAAGCACATCATCTTGATTATTTCCATTTTGAATAATAACTGGAGCGGAATTCTTCTTCCTGTTCTTTAGAAAATAATTCTGGTTGTTCATCAGATGAAAACACATTGCCACCGAATTAGAGTTTTCCATATAAATACAGCAGCTATTTGCTGAACTGTTTCCACTAAACACATTAATCTTTATCATGTAGTAATTCCATTGCTATTATAAGAGGTGTGTGCATCTTACTCATGAATGATGCTCCTAAGGATGGTCTAATGGAAATAGAGCTATATGTATCACAATATGTATCTAAACTCCCAATACCCTGTGCTTGCAGTCTGAAGTACAATGACAACACGCAATTTGATTTCAATATATAATTAAAAATTTAAAGAGAAATTGTGTCTTCACCTTTTCAGAGCAACAAGAAAAATTGCACAATATGATGAGAGAAAGAGAAATCCAAAATCTTATTTACACCCTAAAAATAAGTTCAAAATACTTGTTTTTTGCCTTTTGATAATATTTTTGTGCTGCTTTGTTTACTCACTTTTGCTGAAGTACAGAAATGTTGATTCGGTCAATATGAAGAACAATCAAGCTAAAGACATACTACATCCATTTTTAACTATTTTTATTTCTTTTGGCCTCTCATCCTTCAGTAAGACTTTCCTCATTCTGCTTAAAGCACTCTGAACTTGTAGAATTAAATTGGTATGTGTAATTCTCTTGCACATCAAAATATAAATCATCCAACAATGTTAATTTCCAAACAACGGCACTTTCTCTTTTATCAAAATTATGACAAAAATCTTTTCAACTTAATATGTACTTTTGAAAAGCTAAAGTTTTCAAAAATGTGGAATAGTATTTATTACACCTAAGAAAATGTGAGTTAAAGAATTCAGGGATTTGATTTATTTAGTAATTAGTATGTGCCAGAGACTAAATAGTGACATTTGTTAATGGTATTGCAAGGACTGGGAGAATTTTACCTTCAGGGCCTTGAAGTAGCAAGAAGGAATGCTAAGTCCATTCTCCTTCTAATATGGTTAGGAAACTCCTAACATTGCAGTAAGCACTGAAACCTGGGTAGAGAAATTGAAAGGCAAGGCAAAATGGTAAGGTATGTGTTTTCCTACAGTCATCACTCCTGAGAAGGAAGTCCTTGTTTTTCTTGTACTGGGGATGAATGCAAGGACGGCTGTGTCGTGTGAGTGGTCGACTTCACCTTTGGACCAGCCCATATATTTTGTTGTGAAACCATCTCTTTACTGGAAGCTAAGAAAATTTTGGATCCAGTGTTGCAAAGGAAGTGGTGGACTTTAAATTACTGAGATTAACGGGGTTCATATGAGTAACTGCATTAAGAAATATTGTAGCCTTATCAGGGATGTAGTTTGTAATCTAGGTGCAATGTGATTATAAGGTATAAATGTAAGAAAACTTTTTTTCCCTGTCCAATTTTGTCAGTTTGAGCCACATTTTATTTTCATGTTTATTGCAGCTAAAAGAGTGTAGCCACAAAATGTGGGATAAATAGCCTTATAGCTACAGCCATTTGGCAAATGTTGCAGGTGGGCCTCAGGACTTAAGTCACTTTCTTGCAGAAAGTAAGGAGTGACTATGTAGCACTCACAGACCAAACATGACAAAAAGGCTTAAACACAACTTAATGATGGGAGAGGACTTTATGAGACTCTCTGAGAGAGTTAAAATTTTCCTCGCAAAGAATTTGTCATGGGTTTGCCATGGATAATAACATTCCTTACTACCAGTTCACAGATTTTGAAGCAAAAAGGACCACTGACTAGGAAAAAATAATTTAATTTCAAATATCTGCCTAAGCCATTTTCCACCACATAAGTTTGCAAATCCAGCTTCCAGTACACGATAGGTCATAAACTATTCTTCCTGCAGAAAAAACTTCTGTAGACTTTAACAGAAGTTTTCCTGCCACATCCCAAGTTCTTGTAAGCAGAATTCTGTCCTTGCAACAATTCTGCTTATAATGAATCAAGTAGAAATAAACAAAGACCATAAATCCCAAACACCAATGCCTATGAAATAACTAAATAAAGTGAGACATTGGCAATGTAAAAGGAAAAAATAAAGACCCCAATGAAAAACAGTTTGAAACATGCAAAACTCTAGTTTTGCATAGGAGATACATATAAATTGGCATATCAATCATTGCATATACATAGTCATTGCATATATATAATCATTGCATATGCATAAAGTAATGTGCTTACCAGCTACAACATATCCTTAAGGTCACTAATGACTAAGTGTAGGTAGGGAGCATTTTAAAAACTTGCAGAGGCAGGGTCACTTGATAGCACTTGTAAAACATCAGATCAGAAACTGTGTGTCATGCTGTCTACATTCTTCTACCTGTGGAACCTGGTCTAATACCATAATTATAATTTTTAAGCAGAGGGAACTTGGCTTCAATTCAACTGAAAAAACCTGAGTTTATCTTTTTGAAAGCTAAGAAAAGCATTTATTATGCAGTGAACTTAAATATGTATACTGATAAAAGATTTACTCTGAGGCAGTCTGCGCCAATTGAGTTTTCAGTTTAACACTTTATTTTTTCGAGTGTGTGTGTGTGTATACAGTTGATGAAGTATGGTGAATCAGTAACTTGGTGCCAAAATAAACTGCAATAAGTTGCAGTGCTAGGCAAAACTGTCTTGGTCTTCAGCTACAGTCATTCTAAACATGATATATGTGGAGTTAAGTACAAAACAGCCTCAGGATTGGACCATTTATTAAAGGTCCTATAGCACTGATGAATCTCTGTATTAAGGTTATGATGTGACTGTAAAAAAAAAAAATCACCAGACTACAAAAGTGGGTTAGAAAATCTTAGGTGAAAAAGAGAGCTATCCTTTTTTACCTATCCTGTAACATACATACATAAGCATGCATTGCTCCGTTCACTACAGACCCTAAATTCCAAATGTAAACAAAAGCAGACTAGTTCCAAATTATTAGAACTGAAATAAGCAGCTGCCTTTCCCGACAAAAGAAGCAAAAGAATGGATGTGATATTTTGCAACCTCTGGCTCCTTGAGATATTTCATAAGGGTTTTTCTACAGCTGTCAAAACTTAGCACACTAACTGTGCATATAAAACTGCCTAAATATTTCTTGCAGTCAATTCACTTATGAGAAATCTTAAGCAAGATGAGTAAAACATTTAAAATCTAGCTTCTCCACTTACTAGATAATGGTAACAAGTTATACAACCTACCATAAAAGATTTTTCATAAAAGAAGGAAAAAACAAGGAGTTTTAAATACAAAATAGCCTATATTAAAAGATCCATCAAAGGTGTGTCAGAAGTGACAAAAGGTAGGAAAATAGAATGACAATGACATTCTGATCTTAATTCACATAATTTAAAAGTGGCAAGTTATAGTGCACTTTCTCTTTTAAACTTTTGGGTTTCATGGATCTTGGCAGAATGCTGCAAAATTGCAAAAATAGATAGTGATTATTACAGAAAGAGTTAAGTATATAAATATATTCATCTTGCTAAAGTTTTGCAAGCCAACCTCTGCCCTACTTCTAGCTACACAAATTCACTGAAAACTAATGGGCAATCAAAAACGAACAGTGGTGAAGCTTCGACAAACACTCTTGGTAAACTGCCTTCCAAAAGACCAGGGACTGCTTTGACCAAAAAGCTGTACACTTTTGCTTTCTAAGGTGTTGAACACCTTTATGTTTGGAGCTCTGTACCTAATGCCAAACTCATGCAGGGTGACAGGGAAGAATGAATCCTGCTGTTTTCAGAATTCAATTTCTTCAGATATACTGTTTATTTTATAACTAGACTCATCTTTCTCCATGTTGTGGATTTGATGGTAATATACACTGCATGCACCTGTTGCAGTGTGCTTTTACGATATAAAGTATGCTGAAGTTGTAATGATTGCTTAAAGTGAGCATGCTTCCAAAATGGTGATTGTAACTCTTTGTGTAACTCTTCTTGTTCCCAAGATCCCTAACTGTACCTTTGGAATGTCTAAGAGATACCTGGAAACTTACCTACTGGTTGTTAACCCTTTCTAGTAATTGGTTGATTTGTAAGACCTCTGGACTGTCAGTGGTCACCTTGTGATCTCCCCAAAAGCTATTTAAGCTGTTACCAGAACAATAAAATCCTCTCTGCCTGTTCCTTACCTGCCTGGCTGCTGGCACCCTGGTCTCTGCTGGAGGCCATGAGGTGCCGTGGGGCGGGAAGGCCAGGGGGAGGGCACACTCCCCCTCGGAGCAAGGGGTAAAAGGAAAGGCCTCTTGCTCTGGGGTTCCCTCTCCCTATCCCCTCAGCATTCATCATGCACCCATCAGGTTTCCAGAGATGCTTGCAACTCTGCAGAATGAATTGTTCTGTTCTGTTCCTGCACAGTTTTCATGATTTTGGGTGACAGGCATTTAAGCATTTGTAGATTTGGTAGCCATACTTCTTAATGTCAAGACTTGGTCCTGGCATATGGTAAATGTCCTCTATTTCAGAGGAATTGGAAGTGCTCCTCTGTCTAGAGAAGTGTGCTCATGACTGATTTTTTAAAAGCATTTTTTAGTGTTGGAAGATTTAGACAAGTGAGAAGCAGAGTTTTCATAATTAGGCAGGTGTTTTATCACCAAATCTTTAAACAATATTTAGAGGTCTAAATCCCACTGGAACTCTTATTATGGTTGGTAAATATGAAAACTACAGTGGAAACTAAATATGCAAGTAGGCTGAAGGTTGAGTATTGTGATACATAACATGTAGATATTTTCAGTTGTATAAAAACAGAAGATGAGAAGGATGGACATGTTTTGGCCCATTTTGCACTTGCTACTTTAGTTAAAAACTTTGTTCAAAAACATTCAGAATCTATAGTCACAAACAGATTCTAGTGGTTATAGCACTCACCATGGGGGAAGCAGATTTTGGTTACAAACTCTACTTGAGAAAGAGGTGGAATTTCCACCCTGTGCCTCTTTCAGCTCTGAGTCCTATGCAGTGGCAGAAGATTGACATCATTACCACCTTTATCATCACAACTGTGACTCTGAAACAGAGTCCTGAGCTTCTGACTACTGGATCAATCTTTGGAGGTCATTTAAGCAAGGCAAAACCTCAATGGTAAACCCAGGTGGAACATCCCATTATTTGGGACTAAGGCTGCAGGCCTTAGCCAGAGATCTTTAAGCAATAAAACCAGTTTACAACCAAAAACCTAAGTATATGTAATTTAGCTACCACTGTTAGGGTGAGTGTAAATGTTGAGACTATAGATTCGGAATACAGGCATCAAAAATGGCATGACTAAACCACATCTATTTTGCATGTAGGTTTAAACGGCAGCTCATTAGGAGTACAAACTGCTTGAAGGCAAATCTAGGCATGACAGATACAGACACAGGAAAAAAACCCACCCAGTCTGAGCCTATCCCTCATGTGTGCGTCAAAGCACAGCATTGTCTGCAGTGGGGCTGGGCAGAAAAATTGTTCTGGGGTCTTTTTAGGACACAGCACCACTATGTGCAGAATGCGTTTTTTCCCGGTTATTTTTCGGGCCGTGTGTGTGTAGAATCAGGCATCCACGCTCCAGCTTGTCAACGACAGCCCTGCAGAAGGCACTCCAAAGCTGCTCCCCAGGCTGCAGAACAGCAGCCGCGGCTGTGCAGCCCTGGTTGATGGAGAGACGACACTGTAGTCACCTATCCCTTTTCCTCCACAGGTCATTTCCAGGTGTGTGTACTGCACGTTCCACGGCATTCAAAGGGCCCAGCCGCCCTCCAAAACCGAGACACAACGCCCCGTTAACACACAAGCGGCGTTACAGTGGAGCACTTAAAGGCCAAGCCTTCAAGCCTTACTCCTGCAAGTGGCGAAGGTCCTGTCCCTGCAACCGCTTCCTCGAGCAAAGCCTGCGGAGAAAAAAACCAAAACAACAAACCCAAAACAAACCAAAACCCAAACCACAAAACTTAAATCACGTCCCATTCGCCGACCGCAGCAGGGGACTGAGCGCGGTGAGACCCAGGGAGCTGCCGGGGCTGCCCGGCCAGCACCTTCCTCGGTTCCCCGGGCAGGGAGACAGCCTCGGTCCGCGCAGCCCGCGAGGGCGAGGGACGGACAGCCTCGCTCGCCCCTGCCGCGGGCAGCGCAGGGGCCGCTGCGCCTCCCGTGCCCGCCGTGAACCCCGCCAAGACACAGGGAGACCGCGAGGGCGGCGGCAGCGCCACGCCCGCCCCTTTCCCGAGGCGCTGCCCCTCATCAGCGCCCGTCGCCGCTGCCCGCGGGAGGAGCGCCAGGCGGAGCTCCCACTGCCCGCCGCTCCCGCCGCGCCACCGCCCCGCGCGGAGGAGGAGGCGGCGGGAGCGGCGGCGGCGGCGACAGCCGACACCGGCCCCACGTTACTTTGATTGACGGCTGAACAAATGTTTCCCCTGTTCGAGCGCCGGCGCCGCGGAACGGCGGCGGGCTGCGGGCCCCGCCTCGGGCGGCGGGCCAGCGGGGGCGGGGAGGCCGCGGAGGGCCTCCTGATTGAGCGTGAGCCCGCATAGCGTCACGGCCCCACGTGGGGCTGGGCCCGGTACCGCCCCCGTCCGCGGGACCGTGCGCCCATTTGTCAGCGACGAAATGATGGGCATTAGTGCGGAGCGGCGATTAGCGCGAGCCCAGCGCCCATTGGCCGCCGCCACCACCCTTCAGGGGCGGGGCGCAGTGGGGCTACGGGCGGAGCCGCGGTGCCTGGCGGGAGAAGTAGTACCCGGTGCGGTGGTGCCAGGGCAGAGGCACGGCTGGGAGGACTGCGACTCCCAGGGTGCCCCGCGGCGGCGGCAGCCTTCCGGCTGCTGTGAATATGTATAAGAATGTTAATGACGAGCCGCTGCTAAATTTGGTCAAAGGAGTCACCTCGGCAGAGCGTGCAGTGGGAGCGGCTCGGAGCGACGGCCCGGGCTGGGTCAGGCTGGGCAGGACACGGCTGGGCAGGGCCGGACTGCGCCGACGAGCCGAGCACGGGGCTTCGCTCCGCGCGTCGCTGCTGCCTCTGCCACTTCACGGAGTTTCGAAAGGCGAGGAGCGAAAAAAGAGAGAGAGGAAAAAAAAAGACATAAATAAAGCTGCCCGGACCGTACCGTATTTTTCATTCTTCTCGCTCTTTTTATAATTTTTTTTTTTTTAATTTTAAAAAAAGAAAGAAAAAGAGCGGCCCAGCAGCGCTGGCGGGGGAGATGCGGTCCGGGCGGTAGTAGCGAGGACTGGCCCGCCGCACAAAAGGGCACCGCACCGCACGCACTCGAGCAGCCCCGGCGGAGCAGTCGCCCGCCCGTCGCAACCGCGAGCCCCGCCGGGGCACCGCGCCCCACTCCGCCCGGCGCCGGGAAAGCCGCCGGCAGCAGCAGTAAAAGTTTTGAGAAGGGGAGGAAAACTGCCGGCGGGGGGGGATCTCCGGCGGAGCGCGCGTCGGCGCTGGCGGAGGGTCTTTCCCCGCCCCCCTCCACTTCGCCCTCCGCCGCACGGGGCTTGGAGCCCGCGGAGCGGCGGCGGCGCTCGGGAGAACCGGCCGGCGCCGCCCGCTGACCGCCCCCGGGGGATGTGGCAGCACCCCCCGAGCGTCACGGACGCCGTCGCCGCCGAGCCTCGCTGCTGCCGGCGGTGCCCCGCCAGCCCCGGGGCGGCGGGGCCGGGGCGTCCCTGCCCGCCGTCTCCGCCGCCGCGCCTGCAGCCCTGATCCCCGCCGCTCCGGCCGCCAGCGCCCCCCGAAGCGGCGTGGATGATCCGCGACCTGAGCAAGATGTACCCGCAGACCCGGCACCCGGTGAGTGGCGGCGGCGGCGGGCTCGCGGGCACCGCGGAGTTGTAGCCATTTTCTTATTGTTGTCCGCCGCGCCGCCGCCGCCGCCCCGAGTCGGGGTTGGCTCGTTCGAATTGCCCTCGTCCGATGCGCGGCGGTCCCGGCGCCATCCCCGCGTCCCGCGGCAGCGGCCGGTGCGGGGGTCCAAACGGGCGACATCTCGTCCCGCGGCGGCCCCGCACCGCCGGCGGCCCCGTCGGGGCAGCATCGCGGGGCGCTCGGGGCATCGCGCCGCCGCCCGCGGGATTGCGCCTCGGCACAGCCCGGCTGCGGGGCCCTCGGTGGGGGGTGGCGGCGGGCGGGAGGTGGCGGTCGGACGAGAGCGGGCGATTAAAAGACCTGCTGTTGCTTGCTTGCAGGCTCCTCACCAGCCAGCGCAGCCCTTTAAATTCACCATTTCAGAGTCCTGCGATCGGATAAAGGAGGAGTTTCAGTTTTTGCAGGCTCAGTACCACAGGTAATGCTGCCGACTTTCTCCGAGCCCTGCGCGATCTGCCCTGTCGCCGCTCTTCCCGCTGCTGCCCGGAGGGGCGGCGGGGCGGGGGTGCGGGACGCCCTGGCGGAGCCCGAGAGCGGGACGGACCCACCCCAGCCGGGCGCTCCTCCGCCGGCCCCGCCGCATCCCGCCGCCGCTCCCGGCCCTCGGGGCCAGAGTCTCCCACGGGCCCCGAGCCGAGCGGTGCGAGTAGATTTTCTTGTTTTCCCCGCTTTCCGTTTTGTGGTTGTTCTTCCCCCCCCCGCGCTTCCCTCCTTTTTTTTTTTTTTTTTTTTTTTTTTTTTATTCACTTTTGCGTGCGGGGAGTGGGTGGGTGTTGACAGAAAAATATGTGGCTGGCTGGGCTCGTCCTCTGCTTTTCTTCGACATGCAGTTCAGGACGTGGTTTTTGTCGTGGCTCGGCCCCCTCGCGCCTTTCATTGACATGTCAAGTGCTGATAACCTGGAAGTGGGGCGGCGAGCTGTTTCATTATCCTTAGGTGGAACAGCGCTGTGTCCTCAAAGTGACAAGTGACTTATGGCAGAATTGCTTAACGGGCTTCTGAAAACAAAATAAACAGTGGAGGTGTTAGTGTTCACCACGGTGTTCTTAAATTACCTCCAGTATTTTACTTGCAGTTCTATCACCAGTAATAGCAAAAAGCAAAATTAAAATCCACAACTTTATGCTTCTTGAAGTGGTGATATGCATTTGATTCCTCTGTGGGTCGAGTGAAAGAAAGAAGTGTCTCTAAAACTCTTTCTAAAACTCTGAAACCCAAACTATGTTTTCGTTAGTACCTTCTCAAGCTTGTCTGTTAGAGATGTGAACCCCTGTGTGCTTTTTCTGTGAACCTGTGTCGGTGGTCAGTTTTTTAATGTCAGAACATATCCTCCTGTTTATGCACACGTATGTATGCATTTCTTTTAGGAGATGAGGATGTTGCACAGTATCTCTTGAAAGTGGAAAAGTGCAAACCCCTACCCTGATATCCCAAGCAAGAGCTGGAATACACGTTTATATTTCTGTATTGGAGAAATGTGTGAAAAGGGGAGTAGCCTGTGCTCAGGGGAATGTCAGTTTAGTGTTATGAAGTATCTGTGATGTTTCTTTTTTGTGTCTTTAACAGTTTAAAGCTAGAATGTGAAAAACTGGCCAGTGAGAAGACAGAGATGCAGCGACATTATGTCATGGTAAGCAAGCTGCATAACAAATTCTAAATATCTATTAGTTTGGTATGCTGAGACTGACATACATTTAAATTGCTGGAGGCGAACAGGAAGATTGTTGTAGCACTGCTGTTGTTGAGGTTGCATCAGTGCTTACATTATAAATCCTTAGTTTCTGGGCTCTTTTAACTTGTTTGCAGTGGTTCGTATCCGTGTGAAACCAGATTTTAAGCAATTGAGGACATTCTTCCAAATGCTAGCAAATTACTTTTCAACCCTTTTAAAGCCATGTACAACCTCCGTAGTGTACCTGAGGATGATGTGTTCACTTTTGCTTACTTCTCCCAATGGTCATGTCTCCATAAAACAGATCGAGATAATATTTTTTTCTATGATGGTTATAAATCAAAATTGTACATGAATGTTTGCAAATCCAAAGCCTGCTTCCTAGAAGAACTGTTGCGCCTAGGCAGCTGAATCATTGTTTCACTACATTGAGAATGTCTGGGATCTCAGCTGTGAAAGGGATTTCCTCAGTGGTTGTGGTTTGCTTGGTTAAATAACGTGCATAGGAAGACATGTCTAAATGCATAATTGCGTGATGGATCATGATAACTACAGAGGAGCTCTTGCTATCTCTTCTCTTGTACATCTATGAAAGATTAGGTATTTTCTATGTGCACATGACAAGTAATACTCTTGTATTCAGAAAAAGAGTAAATAAGCTTCAAAAAATCTTAACCAGGAGCGCAAACAAATATTAAAGCTCACAGTTATCTTTTTAATGCTCGATATATCTTAGTCTTGGAGATTGTTTGGTATTAACATAACACACTGAACAGTTCCCCGCAGTACTCAGGCACAACAGGACGTACTTGCATTGTTTTTTTTTATCCCTGCAATTTAATTGCAGGGAGGTTTTTGTGTTTCTTTTTAATTTAAAATATTGAATAATTGGTCTGTTAGACACTGCTGATTTAGATGTTTATACACTTGAAACACTTTGTGTGGTTTTTTTTGGCATCTTTTATGCGTGCTGGGGAATAAAATCTTGAGCATTTTCTGCTTCTCATGTTTGACTCTGGTTGTGATTACTTTTTGTGATATTTTTGTTGCCTGTTTTTGCCTTGTTTTGTGGTTGTTTTTTGTAAATCTGACATGAAGCACTGTAGATAAAGAAAAAAAAAAAAAGTTTACTCTGAAATGTGCTCTTTCCAATTCCAGGAACTCTTCAAGGCAAATAAATGTTTGTAGGTCCGTATGTCTTTGTACAGATGATATTTCAGTCAAAGTGAATGTCAGAATAGTTTTCAGAATTGCAAAGTCTAATAGAGTAATTTTCTTTTTTCTTAGTATTACGAAATGTCCTATGGGCTGAATATAGAGATGCATAAACAGGTAGGTAGATAATTTATTCTGTTGCAAGAATACTCTGTGTAATTTCTCCTATCAGTCTTAACAGAGATGTGTATTCTGTGTGACTCGCTTCAACTGCATGCTTGAGTGCATCAGAATTTTTTTTGTTCTTTGCCTGGCCCTGAATCTTCCATCTCACGTATGGTATACAGACTCTGCGTAGGTTGCGGTCTGGGCTGCCAGTTGTACATTGTTCGTTTTTTTTCCACATGTAAGTCTTGCACGTGCAGGTGGTCCTGTGCTGCACAGGGAGAGTGT